ATATATATATATATTTAGAGAGAGAGAGAGAATGTTACCTAAGTAATAGATGTGTTGTTGATCGTGTGGGGATGATTAGTGTGAAGTCGGAACTGTTGTGAGGCTTCAGTTTCACCGTGACTTTCAGGCCAATTGTTTGCTTGAAGTGAGCATTACTAAGAAAGTGAAAAGTGACAATTAATTGGAGACACAAGACGAAGTCACTTTAATATCAAAATGACGCCTGTCGACATTTCCTGATGTACCTTCCGCAAATCACGTGAGTTTGTCACAAATTTTCTCACATAACTATGTATATGAACAATGAACTACTAGTATGATACCGACTGTGAATACAATATACAGTGGTTGTAGTATTACAATACACTAAACAAAAACAACAAAACAGGAAACGGGGAAAGTATTAAGCTAAGGCTAGATCTTGATGATTCCCTCATTTTCCAGTACGACAATAATGACAAACTCTTTTCTTTACATTATCGTAGGGTGGGGCTCACTGCTTCCATCACCAGATATATACATGAAGCTGTAAACAAAATGCAAAGGCTACGTGTAACGGGTCGTTAGGTGTATATTATATATATAGCCAACTGCCGCCGCGCCGCGTGCCTGCGAAGCCCTCTCAAATAATGCACGTAGCCTCCCCTGTCTTTCTCGTCATGACCAGGGGAAGAAATTCAAAAGCTAAGTCTTGATCTTGATGATTCCATTACTGATCAGTACGACAACAGTGGCAATCACACCGGCTATTACTACTAGAACCACTGTAGTGCAGATACAGATTGTCCTCCTTTTGGACCTCAGCCACATCTTGATTTTAGCACGCCTGGCCACCTTCGCGAAGTTGTCGGCCACGTCGAGAAGTCTCTCCGCTCTTTCCAGGACATTTTCCAGCTTCCGGTCTCGGTTGTTCAGTAGTTTCTGGATGTTGTCCCGCATGATGTCCTCAGCTTCCTGCACCGCCTGCTGGAGGTCTTCAATGGTTGGCCTGGGCTACAAGACAAACACATTCTGAGTAAATCTTTGATTGATTAATATACGTTAGACACATACTAGAAGGGTTCACTATCACTTCAGAACTTGGCCTACACCTGTATACGAAACCATTACTAATACTGCACTCTGGGGGTTTCCCATTGTAATGTGAAAGTAAAAGTAAACAGGTGCCCTAAATGAGGAACATTTCCGGCTATGGCCTATATGGACGATATCTATAAGTACAGGAAGGCTATTTTCATGTTTCACTTGCATAGAGTGTGATATGAATTGTTTCGGGACGTGTTAAGACTGGATTTGAAACAACGACAGACAACCACTGCTAACAACATTGTAACAGTGTGTGGTATTAAATCCTTTCAGATGCAATCAGTTTCAATCAATGTAACCTTTCCTACCTCATGCTCCGGGTTTGAAATTGTCACTTCTGGAACCTCTTGTAGTTCTTTCTCCTTTTTCTTCTTCTTCCGGTGTAGTTTTTGCTTCAGTTTCTTTCCGACTTTAGAATCAACATCGTCAGACCCTTCTGCCCCATCCGTAGTTTCTATTTCGTCTTCAACCTTAATCTCTGCTGTAGCCCCTTCTTCTCTCACCACGCCGTCGCTTTCGGGGTCCCGTTTGTCCCCAAGAAGGGGCGCTTTCTCTTCCTCGCTTCCTTTCTGCATCGTTGTCGTTCGGGCTTTAACAAGTTCACTGATCGCAGCTGTATCTCCTGGTCAATACTCCTGAATGACGCTGTTCTTACAATACATTCCTCTACGCCTACGGTCAAACGTGACGTCACATGTAGCTATGTCAAGTATTTCAGGGGGCGACGTCATCGTGTACTCTGCACCATGCATGGCTACCTGTGAACCGGTTTCACCACTCACAGTGACTTTCACTCAAAGGGCTACGTTAAGTTCGTTACCTAAGTATAGAGAATGTACCAATGTTGTTGATCTTGTCACGACTAGTGTAAAGTCGGAACTGTTGTGAGGTTTCAGTTTCACCGTGACTTTCAGGCCGTTGTTAGTGTAACAATAGTGGGAGGGTTCATAGGCGCTACCAACTGACCCCGCCGATGGGTCTAGACCTTTTCAGCCGAGTGGTTAGAGCGTCGGAGTTTGAAGCTGGTGCTCGGGAGGTCGTGGGTTCGAGCCCTGGCCCGGAGTTTTTACTCGCTCCTCCTGTTTCTTACAGTGATTCCCACACCTAACCCGGGCCTTGGCAGTGAGAGCGCCAATTAAATTCTAACCACTAGTTTCTTACGTTTGCTTGAAGTGAGCATTACTAAGAAAGTGGGGAGTGACAATTAACTGGAGAGACAAGACGAAGTCACTTTAATATCAAAATGACGCCTGTCGACATCGGACACCCTTTCCTGGTGTACCTTCCGCGAATCAAGTGAGTTTGTCACAAATTTTCTCACATAACTATGTATATCAACAATGCACTACTAGTGTGATACCGACTGTGAATAAAATATACAGTAGTATCACAATACAGTAAACAAAAACAATACAAAACAGGAGACGGGGGAAGTATTAAGCTAAGGCTAGATCTTGATGATTCCCTCATTTTCCAGTACAACAACAATGACAACCACAACAACAACAACAGCTAGTATCACCCCCACTGCCGCGGCGATTCTCCACTTGTGTGCCCTCAGACACAGCTTGATTCTCACACGCCTGGACACCTTCGCGAAGTCGGCGGCTGCGTCCTCTAGTCTCTCTCCCTTTTCCAGAAGACTCCCAGCCTCTGTTCCCGTTCGTTCACGAGTTTCTCGACGTTGTTCCGCACGATGTCCTGCGCTTCCTCCACCTCCCGCTGGAGGTCTTCAATTGTCGGTGCTTTCTGCTTCAAAACACAATGTACTGTTCATTTTAACCATGTGCATAGTACTAGTAATTTTCAAGCAGATCCTACGGTGGCAAGAGAGCATCCATTGGCCTGAGGAGTGTCCATTAGGTGGCTCCTCTGGCCAATTGATACTACCTTGCCACCGTAGGATCTGCTTGGAGATTATATACTCACGAGGAGGGATCCCTATTATGTGAAATGAGAAGGTAGTAACAATAGTGACAGATATGTACATGCGGCCGTCGGGCGATCCGACCCGCGGTCGAGCCGATACCTCGGGCGATACGGAATACCCCGTGTTGTATTCTATATGTATCATTGTGAAACTTGGCCCGTATACAAGGAGCTTATAGCCTATACGAAACCGTCATTAATACCGTGACGTTCTGGTGGTTCGAAAGTGAAAGTAGATAAGCTGGTTACCGTCCCTATGTTAGCCTCCTTCGCAGTCTTGTTGGGCGTGGGCGTAATTTTTGTGCGCGACGCGAGTAATATGCCGCCGCGAGGGACGATTTGCTGCCGAGGGACTTTTGCCACGGAGAGAAGGTTTCCGCGCTCCAACCCTATGTGGTGTTTTGGTCATCGTCGATGACATAAATATGTGTGCTGTTCAATTCTTTATCTAGGTCCCATGTAATTATAGCCTTGTTACTAACCCTATTATAGCTCCCGATTCCTACATCCTCTCAGGACTCGGGAGCTATAGTATGTTTGGTAACCATATTACATATGTTTGGCTAATGTAATTTAAGTAGGTCCCAAAAGTGGTCAATCGTGATCTACAGTATCATAAACAACATCCCCATGTGAGATTTCCTACCTTCGGGGTTAACATTATGACTTCCGGAACTTCGGCCTCTTGTTCTCCTCTCTTCTTCCGCTTCCAGGGTCGTTTTTTCCACGGCTTCCCTTTCTTCCCGCCTCTACCTTCAACATCGTCAGACCCTTCTGCCGTCTCAGGCGAATTCTTCTTAGTTTCTTCGTCTTCAAACTTCACATCTGCTGTCGCCAGTTCTTCCCTCCCTCCGCCGCCAGTTTCGGAGTCCAAGGGCGTTTTCTTCAGTTCCTCGCTTTTTTCCTTCATCGTTGTCGTCCCTTTTACGTTCTCTGATCGCAGCTTTCCCCCAATATATCCAAATGGAACCTCTCAATTATTTCCTCTGCAGCCATGTAGCCATAGTGTACAGCGGACTGCGTCACATCTCTGTTTACTTGCTAAACGGCGACACAATACCTGTGAACCTGGCCTGACCTGGTGTTCGGGTTCACGAGTTTCAATCAATGCGTTTGAAGCGAAGTTCACGTGGCAGAATGTACCATATCAACGTGTTTATCTAGTGGGGAATCCTGTGAGCATGCGAGGTTTCAATTTCGACCTGCAGGCAATTGACCGAAGGCCTCCGCGCGGTATACATCGCAAATAGATCGGTAAAATAAAGCAAGCTTTGGTTTTCACTTTTATAATATACCATATCGGGTGCGGATGTCGTGCATGTTACGATCACTCAATGAAATGACAAGTGAACTTTGCTTCACCCTCCTACATCCTGTTGGTTTGGCCTGTCACAAGTGAACCCATGCACATGCCACGTTAACAGGTGTGCCCACGCATTTCCTCTCACGACTCAAGTGGACTTGGCCCTTTTCCAGATCCAGAGGGAGTGGCGGTATACAATGGGTAGCTCAGCTGTGCTGTTTGTTGACTGAAACACATGCAAGCCGCGAGTTTTCTTTATTCCAGAACATCAGCTGCGATCGGTTGACTTTACACAAATTTCACTTCTTTATGTCGAACATTTCTTACAATGAAGCTCCTTAGTATATTGGAGCCCATGCAAACGGCACAACTTTTAATCTTAATTTTGTTTACGCCAGGGCATAAAATATATTATCACCGCCACTTCCCGATCCACATTGATGACGTCACAAAGCACGTTCAGAACGGGACTTAGGAACTCTTCTGTTCGACATCTGACAAGCCCCGTGGTTCATCAAATAAACAAAAGCACCAAGGCTTTTCTCCAGCCCATGCAGGCTAGAGGATGGCGTCTCTGTGGTATATGATGGTACGTCGCATGGTGTCGCCCCTGTCCAGACATTTCAAGGCGATAGCTGGCGTGATTCGGGGCAGGCTCTGCTGTTGTAAGAAGAAGAAGAAGAAAAGGGTGTCGAAGAAGGGAAAGACGTCCAAGGGCGCGAAAAAGGCAGGTGAGGAAACGGAGGAACTACAGACGGGAAATTTTGCAATCTGGACTGTTAGGATTCATATATCAAGAGGTCGTTGTATAGATATATAAATGTTTATTTATCTTATATGTTTCGGGGGAGACAACATTTTACAATTATGTAGAGTCGCACAGTGGCCTGTTTTGTCTCCCCTCCATTGTGTCATACCGTGGAGAGACCGAATAAAGATTCATGATCAAGAATTCCATGTATAGCTGAGCTGATTGATAAATTTTATATCTTCAGTCAAGGACAAGGTTTAGATAAAGCTCAATGACGTTCTCTTCTTTACAGGACTAAAATCATTTCTTTCAGAGGGGGTACGGGAGAAGCGACGCAAGACAGCCAAGAAACGCACGAAGAGCGACTGAACCAAAGCTGACCCTCTCGAAGCTACAATCCACACATTTCCATATAATTTCATGTTGATCATGCCAGCAAGATTAAGAGCAATGTAATACTCGGTACATCCATTCCGTATGTTAAGTTGGATACCGGTAATCTATTTTATATCGTGCTTTAATTTCTCGAGATCTCTCAATTCTTCAACCTACATGTACAATGGTCATATATGAACTCACTAACGCACCAAAATCACAACCTTGCCGGTAAAAATGTAACATGAGGAATAAAAAAATGACTCAACAATAACACAGCAGTTTCATGGTGTGAGACAAAGTGATGTTTACTAACGACAACACCAAATACACATCTAAAATGTACAGTTTCCTTCCAACAACCGATGGATTCACTGTTGATCACTCAAGTCTACACTGGTACCAGTCAAGCAGCCTTACAGTATGTTTCTAGTACTACCCCTAATGTGGCTCTCTATGCGCAGTGTACAACCAAGGATATTATATAATGTCCTTAGTACAACATTTGCGAACATTAGCAACAAGCTGAATAAAATCTAAAAGTGGGCAGGAATCGAACCATGAGTCAACCTACTTGTATTTGTATTTCTAGAGAAGGATACCATAGCAACATCTTGCCAGAAGTTAGTGACATAAAAAAACTTGTAGGCAACAAATTACATATATTTTGCCAGCCTCTTCTGGTAAGTAGACTGAATGTAAATACAGCGCACAGTGCAGGTACAGCCATCCGTACACAATTTACCACACTATTATGAACCCAAGAGGCTAGACCATGCAGATCCAGCTTGATTGTACATGTGTATGTCATGTAAATTCATTTGGGAAATGGAAAAAAATTCGCAGGTTGAAATAGACATGTCAAAACTGACTGGTCTTCACCATGTTAACATTCTGCTCAAGTTAGCATTGTTGCACTTTTGTTTATAAAAGCAAAGTAAATCACTGAGAATCGCAAATAAATAAATCATCTCTAAATTCATACGTACAAGTCGTTTCATTGAACTAAGTACCGGTACAGTCAGTAACACAAATTTGTCACATTTGCTAAAAAGCTGAAACATGACAATAAAAAGGAGGCAACACTTTTTCTAAACCAAAGAAAATGGTCCCTAACCCTTGACAACTGCTAACAAACTTCCATACCTGCAGCGGTGGGCACCCCTTTTTACAAACTGGAAGAATCCGGGGTCATTTTTTTTACTCCCTTACATCTATGTACATTTCTACAATCAGTGATCTTGTCAATTAGAAAAGTTACTGACAGCCCATCCAAAATCTTTTACTTGAAGCTTCTACAGGGATTTACTAACTCTTCTCACCAAGGAAGCATAAAATGTTATACATCCATGAGCTTAAGTTAAATCAATGGCTGGAAAATAATTATCTTTCTCTTAGTGACAGACTTGAGAAAATAAACAACTAGTCATAGCTGTTGTGCTGTATCCTAGGTCTTCATCTCTTTTGCTCTTTTAATTGAGATGGTTATTACATTAGTAAGACAACTCTCAATCTATGGAGGCCTGTTTTACTACATATTTTACACACTACAATTATATTGTAGGACAAAATGCTTCACAGAGAACTATTAATTTTCATATTGCCATGGCTTTCCTATTGTCTCTTTTTGGACGTTAATAGACGTTAAAGAGCTCCCAGATAGAGAGAGCCACAAAATCAGGTACAAGTAGGTAGAAACCACGTTAAATACAACAGACATTGCAAAATGACATGCAGATAGGATCGCTTACCATCACAAACTACTTACAATGTATTAATAATGTACACAGTATTCACAACAACTAAATGGCAGGAGTCAAAACTTCCCTCTAAACAACGTTCAATCCCATGTCAAAACCATCACAGAATTCTAAAACCGTACAGTTAAAGCCAGGAATACTCCATTTAGTGTCCCTGATCGTTGTAGAGCATTGCAACGTCCTCGTAAAATTCCCAAAGTATCGAATTACAAGACTTTGTTCATTTTTTTCATCCCAATATAATCTACAACAACTATTCAGACACTACCCAAACTACCAAAAGTTCCTATAACCTCTAAAAACAGTTTTTATCCTCAACAAAACCATAAAAGTGTCAAGGATTTTAGCTCCTTCTACCTTAAGTATCATCTCTCTAATGTCTCACTACTCCTCTAGACTGGCTTTCCCTCGATGCAACAGTTAGGGTCCCGTAAAAGTACCAGGCCGTTTGTTATGATTGACACCTGTCACTTCCTGTCATGTCAAGTGCTGTGAACAGTCAAGAGAACTCTCCAACTCTAGCTCAGGTGGTCACCCGACTCTTGCGACTCCTTGTCCTTTTTGCTCCATCGCCTTTTCTTCTCCTTCTTTCCTTTGAACGAGAATTTCCCGTCCTCAAGAACCTGCTCCTCTGACGGAACAGGTGACGCCCCGCTTCTTGAATCCGAATCTTCCTCCTTCTTTCCTTTCTTCTTCTTTTTCAGAGAGAATCTTCCCTCCTGTACAGTCTCAGGAGGAGGTACAGGTGATGCCCCACTTCTTGAGTCCGAATCTTCCTCCTTCTTTTCTTTCTTCTTCTTTTTCAGAGAGAATCTGCCCTCCTGAACAGTCTCAGGAGGTACAGGCGAGGCTCCACTTCTTGAGTCAGTGTCTTCAGCCTTCTTATCCTTCTTCTTGTCCTTCTTCTTCCTCAAAGAAAACCTTCCGCCTTCCGAGTCTTGGTTCTCCTGGTGGGTTGGGGACATGCCACTTCTTGTGGAGTCAGAGTCTTCGTCTTTCTTACCTTTCTTTGCCTTCTTGTCTTTCTTCTTCCTTAGGGAAAACCTCCCGCCTTCCGAGCCTTGATCCTCCTGTGACAAAGAGTCTGCGTCTTTCTTAAGTTTCTTGTCTTTCTTATCTTTCTTCTTCTTTAAGGAGGCAGCCCCATCTTCCACTGTTTGAGTGTCCTGTGGGACTGGTGACTCCTCGTTTACTGAAACAACTTCTTCATCTTTCTTACCCTTCTTGTCCTTCTTTTTATCTTTCTTAGACTTTGATTTCTCATCTTCTTGGAGTCTTTCTTCATCTTCAGGTGGTATTCTCTCATCTTGAGGTTCTCCCTCTTCCTTTTCCTTTTTGCTCTCCTTTTTCCACTTCTTTCCTTTCAAATTCTCCTCAGGAAGAGATACTGTAGAAACAGAATCTACGTCCTCATTTGCACCTTTCTTGTCTTTTTTACTGTCCTTCTTCTTCTTCTTCTTGCCCTTTTTGGAGTCCTTTTCAAGAGTTCCATTTTGTTCCCCTCCCCCAATCGCCCCTTCCTCGTTCCTCCCAAACTCACTGTCAGTTCTGAGGGACTGTGTTTCACTCTCGTTGTCAAGACCGTCTGGACCTTTGCCGTTTTGTTTGGCAGCCTTGGCTCGTGACCGTGGGAGAGAGTCGTTGGGATGGGTGGCTCTCCATTTCTCCAGTTGTATGTGATGCTCTCGCGCCAGATCCTGCTCACCCAGCTTTAACTCTATTATCTGGAAAAATCATAAACAAAAAATACTTTTGTACTTTCTTGAAAGATTATCCCACCAATTTCAACCATGACTGCTTAATTCTACTACTAAGTACTAGTCCCCCCCCTTTTTTTTAAATGTAGCAAGAAAATCATTGTACAAACAGCTCAGGCCAATGCTTGATCTTGAAAACTGGATCGAGATCACTTTCCTTTTCCTTTTTTTTTGAAACCACCTCTCTGCTGTGGAAGAATCCTTTTTCTGTGACCTAAAACTGGATCGACATCACTTTACTTTTCCTTCTTTTACAAAACCAAACATAAGCCATAGCTCACCTCTATGCTGAGGAAGAGCAACTCTTCCATGAGCTAAAACCGGATCGACATCACTTTACTTTAATTTCCTTTTTTTACAAAACCAAACATAAGTGATAGCTTACCTCTATGCTGAGGAAGAGCAACTCTTCCATGAGCTAAAACCGGATCGACATCACTTTACTTTAATTTCCTTTTTTTACAAAACCAAACATAAGTGATAGCTTACCTCTATGCTGAGGAAGAGCAACTCTTCCATGAGGTAAAACTGGATGGACACTTTCCTTTTCCATTTTTTTAAAACAAAACCTGAGTGTTTAGCTCACCTCTATGCTGAGGAAGAAGAGCTTTTCCCTGGCCTAAAATTGGATTTTCACACTTTCCTTTTCCTCTTTATGAAACCAAAGAGTGTTGATCTCACCTCTCTGCTGTGGAAGAATACTTTTTCCGAGACAAACCGGACAGTGAGTGAGTGTGTGTGAGTGTGAGCTAAAACTGGATCGACATCACTTTCCTTTTCTATTTTTTAAAACCAAGCCCGAGTGTTTCTCTCACCTCCCTGCTGAGGAAGTCCTCCTGCATGACCTCGGGTGGAATGTTGCGGAGTTTCTCCATGGTCTCATACAGCCCGGGGCACTCCCGCAGCACCGCGGGCTGGCCCAGCGTGTTCTTCAGAAGGACGATCGCAACCTTGAAAATCACCTTCACACCTGGGGAAAGACACAACGCTTTAAGCCTAGGAAAAAAACATATGTTTCCTGTTTCAGTGAAATGGAAAAATTTTTATTTGCGAAATCAATGAGTGAAATTGTATAATTCGTCCACCAGAAGGGTTAACATCATTTGGCGAAGGTATGAGGTTGAGGAACTAGACTTGTTTCATAAGATATTTAAAATTCTTTACGTACAACCACTTCTTTACAAGAGCTAACGTTTCGATGACTCTCTGATCTTCATCAGCGCCATAATAGCCCTGATAGCCTTGATGAAGATGACAGACGGTTGTGAATTACGAACTTTGATATTTGAAAGACATGACACTGGGCCCCCTGGTTATTGAACCACATTGGGCACCGCCCTATGCACCATCTGGAGCAGTATGGACTTACAAAGATAAGCTCATACCTTCACACAGGAACATGTCCCAGACCCTGAGGACGGAGCTCCACGGCAGGGTGCGTGAGAACAGACACATGAACCACTCCGTCATGTACAGGATCGGCTCTACCTTCAGCTTTTTCTGGAACAGGACCAGGAAACAAACAATTTCAATTCAATCTTTATTCAAACAACTCACAGACAATATTCTTAGTCTGAATCATGTTGTTTTGACAATTCAATGGTCTGGTAGACTCATTGTACACTTAAAATTACAAGTAATCTAATGATGTAACGTTGAATAAAATACACATATCAAAACAATTACACTACATCATCATACATTCAACAAATATAAAGAAGAGGCATATGTACTGATTGGTCACACTTTGTAACTGTATATTAGGTGAATCTGAGATTATAAGTAATGTATTCATTAATCAATTAGCATTCAACAGTTCAGAAGATACGGACTTGGTGAGTTCCTGTAGTGTGCAGTGTCGCAAAAACAACATTGGGTTTGTAACACTGCTGCTGCAGGTGTTGGGTAAGGTATTTAGTTTCGTGTTTATAAGGCCTTGGGGTGAGAATGATTTGCCAGATATCCAGTCTTGTTTAACGAGGGTCCACTTCAGTCATTGCTCCCAGGTGAGGGGTACCTGGAAGGTTTCCACTAAATGATTCAGCACACGTTTGACTGTGAGCCAACGTTGATCTCAGAAATATCATCAAGCGTGAACAAACAACCTGATGTGAGAAGGTTTATCAACTTTTCATATACTACCCTAGAGCCCTACATGTATATCTAATACTTTGGGGATTATCATCATAAACTTTGGTAACAACAACTTTTCTGAAAGATATCTCCAAAGTTGACCTGGAGGCATACATGTACCCAGTGTTTGCATGTGTTAGGAACTGTTTCTTTACCATATGCAATGTTGTCTTTTATCATAACAACAAAAAACTCTCTCTGCACATTTAGGGGATTTGTGAGTTGTATGATGACCACAACAACTTTACCAAATGCCCGATTCTTTTACCAGTAGCTTTCTGTAACCATACATTTGATGTGCTTCTACGTACCAAGTGTTTGTAAGCGTTGGGGACAGCCTTCTTCAGCAGACCATTCAGCACCATTCCATCTATTTGCACTGCTTCCTGTAAGGCAGGGACAAACATGGTGTCATCTTCTATGTAATTGTGTAAAAATGAGCTTAACACCAACATGACTGTCCAGCCACTGTCACAGTGCCAGAAATATCTTAGACCTTGTCGCCCTAGAGGTACATGTACAAGTCTAGCTGTGGCAGTGCCTGTTAATATACTCAAGGAAAGTGAAGTAAACCTTTTTTCTCTAGTCTGCAATTTCCTTAAAGAATTAGATCAACTTCAAGCATTATCATTCTCTACTCACTGAAAACTCATCCTACATACACCATACCAAGATCTTGTCAAGTTAGTATCAAAGTTCAAACACTTTAAAAACTATTTGGATTTGGTGTATAATTTCAACACTTCAAAATTTGGGAAATGCCACAATTTTATCTTCAAGTTGGTACCTTGCCAAACATGTAAATTGCTAGATATTGGATTGATTTGAGTCCTAAGAAGACACATATATTTCCAGATAACACAGTTATGTCATACGTCTTGTTTGCTTACCAGTCCTGAACTGTAGTACCCGCTCATGTACTTTTCACAGATGGCGACGAGACACCAGAAGGCTTGCTGTGGAACAACAGAAGCATGTTACAACCCATAACGTAATTATTTTACAACTTCCTGCACTTGTCTTGAATTTTTCATGAAGCTGTATAGATATTGCAACAGTCTGGGCTTCTTGAAGGGTCTAAAGATGCTGAGACCATCAATTTGGATAATATTTACAATGAACTTTACGAGCAACAAGAATGTTGGCGCTGTGGTTCCAACAAATGTGGGTTCATGATTATTGTACTACTATTGGACAGTGCCTGCACTTTTGAAAGAAAAAATTTGCAACCGCAGCAAATTTCAGTTCACAGGACATTTTCTTGTTGGTTGTGTTCTTTCCTTCTGCTTGAATGTCTGTGGCTACAAACATGGCATCGAAAACAAGTGTTGTTGTTGCTTTTTATTTGTGTAGATTGAATAGCACCTTGTGGAGGGGGGGATAAAGCTATCTGTACCCATTGCTTACTAACATACACCAAGATAAACCTGCAGAAGACAACATGTACTTACCTCTGCAGGCATGTGCATGAGCAGGACAGCTGCAACTGGTGCCTGGGCCTGAAACCAAACAAGTTCTTCTGTTTCAAAAGCTTTCTTCCATCAGAACATAACTGACAACTCTACCATTTCTAACAGTTATAGCTAACATTGATTGACACATACTTAGAGTGCTGGACTCCAACTGAGAAGTGTTGTCTAGTATATGAATATTGAAAATATTGTGTACAGTATTTACCTGACAGTAGCCATCTACAGGGTTGTAGATGCTGTAAGCCTTCAGTATTCTGTACAAGTCCTGCTGTCTGTGGGGAGAGACAACAGCAGGGAGTTAGAGAGAGGTATGGAAAATGATGCATTCACCTTCCAACATTCATGGATATATATTTTCATTGAGAACTACATGTATAGGCCAATTTTTTCTAAATTGCCTGGTTCTTCAACATTCAGTTGACAGAATTTGGAAGTTGGCCAGACTCAGCAAAAGCTTGACCATATTTGGGCATCTTCATGTGAGACTCTGGTCTCTACTAAATTGTTCCTAACTCACAGGCTCACTCTTATTAGTCTTCATGATAGCCTTTGGCTAGTTGGGTTGCCTTAGCTGCATGTCAACCTATTATTATCAAAATAATAAGATAAATATCAAGCTAGAACGACTGTACCAGAAATTATAAGACCCTGTCCTTACTTACCCATGTCCACCTCGAGCACAGAACATCTCATGGAAGGGAAACTGTCGGTGTAAGTCCTTCTCTATCACCTCAACCCATACTGGGTCTCCTGCAAGCTTGTCCATCTCCTGTTGAAGGCAATCAATCAACCAATCAATCAATCAATCAATCAATCAACCAATCAATCAATAACCTTTATTACAACTGAACAGCCCTGCTGGCTTTAACCCTATTGTGAGAGGTAGAGTGGGAAGGGGGTCTAGGTGAATGACATATATTGGCAATACATATAAATTTCTGCAAGGAAAATGTTCAGAAAATGTGTGTACTCTGTAGTATTACATGTCACTTCTAATGGTGCAGAGTGTGGTCACACTGGTAAGTTGTGCCTGTAACTTAGTGTAAGGATAGTGAACCATGCATGGCTCCAATAGTTAGACAGAAATACAACTAAAGTAAGATTTTCATGGCTGGTGTTACATGTCCTGGCAGCCGCACGCTGTCCTGAAACAAATATCACTGGAATGTCACAGGATTATCCAGGAAAGTCCAAACACATGTGCCAGCTTTGATCATGGAGAAGGCCTTCTGGGACAGTTTGTCACTTCTTTTTTACATCTCCTACAAGTTGTGACCATAAAAAGCAATAAAACCAGTGCCTGGTAAAGACATAAAAGGATACTGACTTGAATTAAGGGTAAGAAAAGATACAAGAGTGAGTCTAGGATGTTTTAACTCTCTAAGTAGAGAAGGCAAACTGGTGTAAAGATCAAATACTTCACAGAGGTCAAAAAGGGCAATACGTGTAAATATAGGTGAAGCTCCAAATATTTGTAACAGACCAGGGCTTCAACCTTACATTACAATGTTCATTCTTAGCCTAATTTCAGGCACTTAGTGTCAGAAGGATATAGATTTTAAGGAATAAAAAAAGTCATCTCCAACTACAAAGTATGGTAGATTTACAGCAAAGCCTGACCTGAAATGGAGAGGGGTTACCCTTGACATGATGCTGAAAGAAATCCCACCACTGGAATTCCATGTATGGGGCATAATTCTAGTACAGAAGCCAGGACAAGCTTTCTCTGTGTGCAGAGAGACTATTCTGTAGATTATTTTGCAGCTTTCTGGGGTGTTACGTTGCAAGGAATGCATCTACTGTTGTTTACAAGCTTAAACAAATGCAAAAGGATACACATGTATGCATGGGCTACTGGACATGAAATTTTGTTCCATTTTTGTCCTGTTTTTCAGATTTTTCGTCAATAAATTAGGTCATACCTGCAACAGATCAATCCCTTACCCATGTACAATATAACATCTACTAGCATAGAGGTCACACCAAGATCCAAAATGGAGGAATTATAGTACATGTAGTAGTACATAGTAGTAGTAATAGTACAAGGGAGTTAAGAACAGAAACTGAACTTACATCAAACTTGCCCGGGTTGGCTTCCATGTACTTCTTGCTGCCAGACAAGTACTGCCACGCCCGACCTCGCAGGGACGCTGGGATTCCCTTTCTACAGCGCTGTTTCACCTGTACAGGGTAGGACCATGGCACAGCCACACAAGTCAGACTAACAGTATGGGATAGGGCCATAGCACAGCCACACAAGTCAGACTAACGGTACAGGACAGGGCCATAACACGGCCACAGTACCCACACAAGTCACCCCAAAGATAGCAGGAACTGAGATTTCTGTAGTTAAGAACCACAAACTGACAGACTTTTGTGTGTTTGGGAAGAGAAACCTGATGTACCAAATAAAACAAGCTAGTGTAGGGGCTACTACTATCATTACAACTATCATTACAAAATATCTGGGTTGTGTTCCCTCATTTAGCAGTAGTCACACTTGGATGTGGCCTCCTGCCAGAATCAAAGGTACATTGTACATTGTACTAGAATCTTTTTACATGTACTGGGATATACATGTATACCTACCATTACCATGGATCCATCCATTCTCTAGTTAAAAATTTGACACCAAAAAAGTCAACCGGGAGTTTTTCTGTGTCTTTGATTGCAGGTGAAAAAGTTGTGGTCGATGTTAAAAAAAAATGAATGAGATTGAGAGTGGCACTATGGTATGTTGGATGCTGGTTACCTTTCTTGTTTCAAACTTACAGGTGCCAGTCAATTTTTCTTTTTGACATATTTGAACTTTGTATGGTGTTTAAAAATAATCTATTACAGTCGAAATGTCTTTGCTGTAAGAGAAGCATAGACAGAAGCTACATGTTTGTGCTTCAGTATACAACTAAGTCTAAGATTGGCAAAGACAACTGTACACTAAGCAGAACATCAGAATCAGAAAGAAGACTAAGACAACATATAGAAATTTCAAGACAAAAATTGTTAAGTTTTCTCATCTCATGTTACTTTTTCCCTGGTTAGTTACAACCCTACCTTAAGAATCCTTGCTGTTGTTTAAGAGACATTAAGGGATTTTAGTAACACTTCCACTGAAACAATACAACATGTATAACAGAGAAATGTGTGCAACATGAAACCAAGTTACAACACAACACAAACACAGATCACTAAACCATCACACTAAGGGAAAAAATTAACATACATGTTTACTACTTTAAATTAAAAAGCATGCATTTTCTGAATCCAAGTGTCCAAGTCATGAAACAATTTGACTGTAGAGTTTTGCAAATATGACATACATGATCAGCAACCTTTTACAGTGAGTACAATTTACTGAATTTGACGATGACCAATCAAATCCTACTTTGCGTTTTGCCATCTTCTGATTGGTTGAAAAATGTAGATGCCAATAATATCAATGTTGGTTGGAATTTGAAATACTGACTTTCTATTAGCTGGAGAATATCTGAAGGGATGTATTGAATCATGACTTGGTCACTTCATTTCAAAGTGAAAATTAGTACACATTATTGAGGGTGAAAGCAAACTTAGACACACAGACACATACAAAGGCATTAGAGGAACATGGAAAATGTTATGATACTGGAAGGTACAGGGTCTAGAAGAAGGCGCTCTTTTCTAAAATTCATACAAATCTTCTCAGATTACTCAAGTTCCTAGCCATCTAGAACTAGCTTTTCTGTGGCTCTCTGCCCTGTTACTGTCTAGGTTTCTGTATGAAAAACAGAAAAGAAGGAAAGTAACATAACATACGTGTATTGGAATGTTTCATGAAAAAAAATGTTTGGACTTGTTTCGGGGGGGATAAAAACATGATTACTTCAAGCTTTTTTTCATCCATTTTCCAGTTCGTCAATGCCGAGTGGGTGGTTAATGTGTTAATTAATGCGGGATGGGGGGTGCATCGTGGCAAAAAAAAGAGAGAGAGATCTTGCGAGCGCTCGTTTTTGGGCGGGCGCTTTCGTGTTTACCTTCGGATGGGGCTTTACAGTTCTCCAGATAGGATGTGTGGTGCTGTCTGAAATATCATTGTCCCGCACCTTTTTGAACCTCTTGCTCATCCAGCGGTCCCAGTGACTCAGCATGTCCAGCCACTTCAGCTCACGCTGCCTCGCCACTTCCACGGGCAAATTGGGACTGCAGGAAGGAAGTTTGAAACATACAATTACGTGTTGAGAACTTCTATTACATGTGCAAGAGACATATTTATAATTAGCCTGGGTGCCATCCTCCGTAGTTCCGCAGCCTCCAAAATGTCGCTGGCTACCACAGACATTAGGGAGCCACCCAGGCTACAAGAAACTGACCGTGGTACAGTGTAAGAAAATACATTTCAGTGAAATGCAAGTTCTCTACTCCTTTACCCCAGGAAATAATAGACTTTAAAATATCATATGTACATGAAATCATACATGGACAACTTTATTTCCAACAAATCTGATGAATAACTAACTGGCCCTTCAAAAGTTCAAATATGTGCTCCATCCAATGATGCCAGTAAAAGCTACTGGGTATATAGGCATTCTTTCAATGCAGCAAAGACCATTCCAAGACTTCTAACTACTGGTATTCCCAGAATGTTTGGGTTATCTCTATTAACATTCCACCATATATTACTTGCTGAGAGACAGACTAACAAGATAGCATTACAGAATGTGACTACCAGTAAACGTATGAAATTAAATATAAGTACTCTAGTGCTGATTCTAACCAAAACAAATTGTTCAAATTTTCCAGTTAAGGCCACACCAATTTAATTTGTTGTTTCTCTGATTTTTTCAGAAACAAATTGGAGGGACAGGCTAGGGAAAAAAAATCAAAAATTTCCCCAAAAAGTCTGGGGTAAAGATATCAGGCTTACATAACATACAGAAAAGCAGGATTACACTGTATGCAAGTTGTCCACTTTTCATGGCAAAGTATTATTCATTGATCCCCTTCCTTTGATTTATGTTTTCATGTCAATTAGTACATCTGCAATCATGACATGTACAGGGTACAAAACATACTAGCAGGAAACAGAACACAATATCACCTTACAATCTCTAGTGACAAGTGCCCAGTTTAGAAGCCTGCTATTACTGTGGTGAGGTGACCTATTTTGTGACATATTTATGTTTTGGCACAGCACGCTCACATAGCTCCATTGCTGGAGGCAAAAACCGTCTGCCCAGTGTTGTCTGCACTGGTCTATTGGATACAACCTGGCATGTTTTACCCTGAATATTAGACTGTATCATCATTCAGTGCATGTAATTATAACTCACCCAACTCAACATACACATGAACAGTAGCACTACTCATGTTCATAACTTCAAGAGATAATCAGCAACAACAATCCGCTGTCCTTGCTACCTGCAGGTAATTACTAGTTTTGCCAAATGGCCCAGTTTAGAGGTGACAACATTTTTCCATTTCCAACAAGGTGGCTGTACCATTTATTGATCTAGAAAAGTAAGGACAGAATTAAAGGCACAATGACATTAAGAGTTCAAGTTTGATTGCCATGCAAAACTGAAAACAAGTTTTATATGGCTCAAAGTCAGGTTTTCACATTGCAAGGAATTGTCTTACTGTAAGTTAACTAGGAGGCCACTAATCTGCCATGATACAAACAAACACATCTGAGTGACACTGTATCATCATCAGGTCTGATTTAAAGTTCAGGGGGTCAATCGCCCCCCTGTCCCC